GACTGAACGCAGATTGGAAAATTTGTGTTAGCCGTGCTCTCTGAATGTAAGTGCAATCCTAATGACCAATTGTGTGCAATGAAATACGATGTTTTGTGCTTATATCCGGGCTCCAGGACACGTGGCGATATTGTGTTGAGGTCATATTCCGCGAAGGCCATGCCCTTGTACAGGGTTAGTCATGGACACCAACACGAAGGGCGGGCTCACTCTAAATTCCAACCTCTGGGTACTTTGAAAATTTGGTAGACGAAGAATCCTCGTTACACTCCACACACTAAAGATGCCGTAAGCCCTAGATTTAGATGTCAGGTGGACCCGCCCCACCCAGTAGTAGTGACTATAAGGAATAATAACTATAAGGAATACGAAGGATTATATTGGGGTCCTTTTATACTCCTATTCTACAACCCTAAACTCAACCTATAAACCCTATATACACCCTATATAACCCCTATATAACCCCTATAACCCCCTCCCTAAACCCTAAACCCTAAACCCTATACCACTATTACAGGTCCGCCTCTTCAGCCTGCCTAGCTGACGCCCAGCATCCCTAGAGCTTAAGCAGGCTCCTCGAAGCAAGCGTATACAGGGTTTATAAGGGCCAAGGGGTTTCAGGGTTTAAGGGGTTTGGGGTTTTTTAGGGATTTAGGGTTTAGGCCATAAGGAGTTTGGGGTTTTTAAGGGGTTTAGGGTTTAGGCTATAAGGAGTTCGGGGCTTTTAAGGGGTTTAGGGTTTACAAGGGGTTTAGGGTTTAGGGAGGACCAGTTATGATTGACTTGCCCGGAGCTTCTAAGTATTACAGGGTGACAGAGGGCATGCGTTTGTGCGCAGCCAGGACTTGGCACGCAACGCGGGTTTAGGGTTTAGGCCAACACCCCCATCCTGGAATAGCGGTAAAATGGGAATATAAGAGGGCCCTACACACTAAACCCTATAAGCACAATCATACCTTCTGGTCGCTATTTCTGCGTGGGGGTCCAGCTAAGTTAGACTCGGAATCTCGCCGTTAGGGTTTGAGGCTTAGGTTGTAGCGCTAAGGGTTCAGGTTGCAGGCTTTAGCTGTTAGAGTTTAAAGTTTAACATGTTACAGTTTTTGTTGAGCGAACAAAGGCGTTTGAAGCCCAGATCTCCCTTTTCGCCCCTTCAATCCTAAATCCATATGTCAGTTTCCCAAAGGTTCCGTAAGTTTTCCCGGAGAAGAGTTTCCATTCTCCTGGAGTCTCTGGGGCGCTCCTGTTTTACGAGCCCCCCACAACCTAAACTAAACCCTTAGGTCAAAGACACCCTAAACCCTACAAACCTCAATCCTGACTGAACCCTTTGATCCAGGAGCTGCCGGGAAAGGCGACACAGCTGAAAGCCACAGAGGGGGCTTTCGCCGCGGTGTTGGAGCATGGCTCTGTTGTAGCATGGATGGTGTTATCAAGTGGGAGTCTCTCAAAATCCTAAACCCTAAACCAGAGGCCTTTTCCAAGGGTCCCCAGAACGAGGACTACAGTATATTGGGGTCAATATTTGGGGCCATCCTGAAAATGGTAGGACAGATTTCCCGGCTTAGGGTTGAGGGTTTAGGATTTTAGGGTTTAGGGTCAAGAGTTTCACAGATCATCGCTTTCACCTATTCCGCCCATTTGAAGGATTGATTCTGACTGCACGGGAGGGAGCCCAGAGTTCTGTATCTGTGCGGTTTAGGTTTTAGGCTTTAGGGTTTGGGGGTTTAGTGGTGCAGGGTTTAGGGCTTTAGGGGTTTGGGGTTTGGGTTGTAACAGTGCGAGCGTTCCATAGACTATTGGCCGCACACGCTTTGGATCTGCACCTCATGCCGAGAACATTAACAGAGCAAGACAGTAGTAGTAATCGTAATACGAACAAGAAGAATAGTTGGAAAATCAGGATAACAGAGCAAGACAGTAGTAGTAACCGTAATACGAACAAGAAGAATAGTTGGAAAATCAGGAGACTGCTTGTCGTCCAGTTCAGCTGGGCAACAGCACCCCTAGCCTCAACCTCAAAACCGTTTATCCTAGATTCCTTGTATGAAGATGGTATAACTTACAAATAGATCTCAGAATTATCTCGAGAAATGTTGAAGCCCCTACAGTACGTATCTGATGATAGCCCTAAACCCCTAAACGAAGCTGAGGTAACGTGGGGCGGCGCGGACTACGGTGGCGAGAGTGCAGACATCCAGGACGGGGATGAGGGGCTGTGTTTTCACATCAATGGCAGACGAAGGCACTCTTGCCAGAATAACCATATTTTGCACTGGTGTCCATTTCTTACTTAGTGACGCCAGCACAAGTCCAACTTTATGTGAAGCCCTTTCTCTGATACCTCGCCCCGCCGTTCGAGTATCCAAGACAGTGAAGCTGGTGAAGCACGCTGGCATCAGAAGTTAGCAAGCCTTTGGTACTGGACCTTCCTGGCAAGTGACGTGATGAAACTGCAGGTTTCGTCGCGAGTCTAAACCATGGGTCGAACATTTGTAGCATGTGCATAATTTTGTCCTGGCATCTGACATATCCAAAAAACATACTCGATCATGGTGAGCCTGCTTCGTTCAAGTGTCCCAAGATGATTGCGTGGCCGTGATGTGGGGATGATGATTGCTGTGATGATGGCAGCAGAGGGGGGGGCTGTGGCAGCGGTAGTAGCAATGGCAGCAAGGGGCAGCGATGACTACGGTGTTGGTGCTGGTGGCAGCGGTACGGTGGTAACTGTTGCGACGTGCGTGAGTGGTAACCGAGCAGAGTCTACTCACAGAAAGGTCCTAGCAGCAGCTACAACCCTAGTCACGCGACATCGTGCCAGTGCAGTGGAAAGCATTGAAGCAAAACAAGTGCAAGATTATTCCTCATTTGCAGGAGCAGCTGCAGGACGTGCAGTTCCTGCAGGCTAACGCTGCAGCTTTTGCTGCTCTCAAGGCAGATGGGACAGTGGCTTGAAGAAAAGTACTGTTTTGAAAACGTTGAACATAAACTCACTAACAGTGACACTCTGCGAAAGTGGGGAATATTCAAAGAGGTTTTCTAGTTTGACAAGGTTGCAGTGCAGGCACCTCTTGTGAGGATCGTTGACACTATGGGGGTTTCAAAAAAATTGGATGGGTCCCTGTTTAAGTTCTTACAATTGGGCTTGTGCTTCTTGAGGATTAGCTTGGGGGGCGCTAGCTTTCAGGAAGCTCCCACATAGGAATGCCACTGCAGGGCTGATTCCTGACATTTTGTCCACTATTTCGATTTGAGTAGTATTTTATTTGGGGTTACTAGGGCACCCAATATAGAGTAAGATTATATCCTCCTTTTGGGGTATAGTATTTTATATAGGAATATTATCTTACTAGGTTCAACCACCATTGGGGGTTTCCCAGCATTAGGGGTACCTTTTCGGAGGGTCCCCAAAACAAGGATTATAGCATCTTGGGGTCTAGATTAGGGTCCCCCTATTGAGGGAAACTACCATTTTTACCTCGCTCCATGGGCTCCCGCGATAAAAGCATTAAATCAGGTTTGGGATTTAGGACGTAGAGTTTAGGGTTTAGGGGGATCTAGGGTTAATAGTCATGGGTTTAGGAAGCCAATCATAGAGAATAAGCATGGATAACAAAACTAAAAATTGAAGGGACCGTGGGGTAATATCGAGGTTTCTATTAAGAAGCACCTAGATTGTCATTCTAGATTCCCTGTACCCTAAACCCTTGACCCTAAACCCTTAACCCTAAACCCTTAACCCTAACCCGCATGTAGGCCACCCCCAATACATCTCAGCATGACATTGGTAACGAGTCAGGGCCTTATGGCCCCAAGCTGGGTATCCAAAATTTGAACCTTAAGGCTCGAAACCAACCTAATCTAGACCCCAAATTAATAAACCCCCTGCTTTTGAGGGCCTTCATATTAGGATATCTATTATAATCTCTATGAAAGGGAGGGGATTTATAAAACGGGGGTCTACATTACTTCACACGGTACAATAGTTCGACAACCTCATAATTCACCATAGACCCCACACAGCCCCTAAAACCTAAACGGGCAAGCCTATTCATCCCGTTATGGTATCTTTTCTTAAGTTCGCTAACAGCAACCCTGGACTGCCAAAGCCAAGCAATGCAGCAGGTCCAGATGATTATGGTTGTAATTGTTGTTATGACTGTTACCAGTATCATGACCATGGTAATTTCACAGGCCCCCTAAAGGATCCAAAAAGTGGAGCCCAACCAACATGAACCCGTTCTACATTGGAGAGACTAGGGGATTATTAGGGGGGTCCTTTTTTGTGCATCCTTTAGGTGGTCTGGGTATGAGTGGTCTAAGGTAAAGGCTGGGGGTTAGGGTTGAGTAGCTTTAGGGTTTAGGGTTTACGGTTTGGGATGTAGGTTTTGTCAAGCATCCTCATTGGATAGGTACTAGAAGACGAAACGACGTACGGAAGATATGCTGGGTTGTTTGGACTGCGCTCAATGGCCCTCTTAAATCCAGGGATGGGGCATAAGAAGGCATCCCTCGATCTTCACAGACATGCGCATAGGCCCTCTTCATGGAGTTTTGTCCTCACTTCGTCAAATGGGAGTTCATCAAATGGGGCAACTTTAAACCTTGAACCCTAAAACCCTAAATTCTAACCTCACAGGACTCCTTGGGAATGCCGGGATGACGGGAAGTGGGCTATAAAGGGTTGTAGGGGGGTTTACGGTTTAGGTTATAGCTCTGAAAGAGTCCTCTCTCCTTCATGGCATGCAACGTTGCAGCCATGCACCTGAAGGCCTGAAGACTGCGAGATGCGAAGCTGCCCCTCTCATCCTCAAATTGCCATTCCCCGCAGATGGTGAGCAGCCGAACATATGCTCCTGAATGCAAAAACATATGCACCTGAATGGAAAGAAGATGTTGGCAGGGTCACGCCCTGTGCCCCCCCCAAACCCTAAATCCTAAACCGGAAACCCTAAACGCGACATCCTAAACCCTAAATTCCAAACCCTAAGCCTTAAACCCAGGTCGTTACGTGGGGTCATGCTCGCTCTGGCGGGGACTCCACCAAAGTCCACGGGCAGCTGTGCGACGTCCGCCTTATCCAGGCAAGGTTCAAGATTTTTGGGTTTGGGGTTTTAGGGTTTTAGGGTTCTGGGTTTTATGGTTCAGGGTTTTAGGGTTTTATGGTTTAGGGGTTCAGGGTTTTATGGTTTAGGGATTCAGGGATTTAGGGTTTAGGGTTTAGGCTCTAGCGCAAGCTGCAGCTAAGGGGTCCAGCTGATGATACAGGATTTTTTGTGTGCCAGCACATACAGTTCTGGAAGCTCGCAAGTTTAGGGTTTAGGGCATTAGGCTGGTAAGCACAGAAGCTTTCGGTCGCAATTCTTAAACTCTGTAGCTGCGCAGAGAATATGTACTGAAAAGCAGAGAAAAGCTTACAGCAACTGGGATTGTATATAGAGGAATCGCAAAACACTTACGTGGAGGTTGGTTATAACCATATTAGGGGACTTAGGGGGCTTATAATTGGGTTCGAAGCACAGTTGTGGTTGGGTTATACTTGCTCTAGACCCTGTAACTCTATATGGCCCCTGTATGAAACCGCTTAGAATCTATGACAAGTACCCGCAAGATACCGGTAGCCCTACTAGGCTGCTCTTTTCAGCGCCTTTTCTGTAAGCTTGAGCTCCTTTTTTACTGCCTATCAAGACGTTTAAGGTTTTGAGCTTTCTTTAGGGTTTAGGGATGTTACAGGCTGTGCATTCAATGCAGTAGCTTCTTCGATCCTAAACCGTGACCTCAAGTCCTAAATCTTGAATCTTAAGCCAAAACCCTAACAATAAACCCTAAATCCTAAGCCTGAAGCCCTCAACCCTAGATCCTACAGGCCACATGTGACGCTTTTGCTGCTGTGTTGGGTGATGGTTCTGTGGTCACTTGGGGCGACGCTGGGAGTGGTGGAGACAGCCGCGCAGTGCAGGCGCCCCCTTCAGTTTAAGCTTTAAGGTATGGGCCTAACTTGTTACCAAAGTAGAAATCACACGGAAATGAAATTGAAATAAACAATAGAAGCTCTGTTTTATAGTGGCGCTTAAGGATTCTGACAAATGCCCGCTTCCGTTTGAGTTTTAGGTGGAACTTGAGATTTGCTATTAGAGGTTCAGCTTCCGGGTGTGTCTGATATGGCTTACTGCAGGGGCCTTCAACGGGCTGTAGGAATATCTAGGTTACGGGATAATGGAGAATTGACATGGAAATGAAAATGATGAACATGAAAAATGACATGGAACCCAGGGTTATGCGAGGGCTTATTATGGTCAAAGGTTCCTAGTCAGAATTATAGGGTCCTTCCTTCAGGGGTTGGGGAACTTGAAGTCCTCTCATTTTCCCTCACTATGATAATCCCCGTTAAGTACACGGAATATGGGGGTATATGGGGAGCTTTTTTTAATATACCCAAATCCATATTCTATCTGCTTAAGGGGGACTATGAACCTAAACCCTAAACCTCAAACCCTCTATTCTATCAACTAAAGGGGGACTGTAAACCTAAATTTGAATTCCCAAGCCAGCTTCGAGTGTCGAGCTTCCCTACTACCAGAAGGTTTAGGGTTTAGGGTTTGCCTAGAACCGACGATCCCTCATCCAGAAAACCGAAGGGTCAAGCCACTAGCGCCTAAATCCTAAACCCAACACCCCTAAACCCCCTAAATCCTAAACCCTACACCATAGACCTTATCCCCCAAATTTCAAAGCCCTGAGCCTTCTACATACATATATACGATGTGAATATGCCTCTGTCAACTTACCTCAAGTGTAACTATCTCTGTTTGTACATATATGTATATAGATGCATACGCACATGCTCTTTTGTTCTCATCTAATTCAGGATATACGTGTAATACATTTCGTATATATATACACACAAATACACATGTCTGTACATATGCATAGTATGCCCTAGACCCCATACCCCAAACTCTAAACCCCGCCCCGGACCCTCTACCCAAAACCCTCTACCCTACGGCTCAAACTCTACCCTAAACCCCGCTTCTTCTGCCCAACCGTAAATGTTAGCTTCAATTTTCCGTTATCCCTACATTACCCAAATATATACGCTAGAATCCCTATTATATAACCTCAATATATACCCCTATAGCCTTATAACATAACCCCAATCTACTATAGTAGCTTCCATGTTCTTTCAATTCTCCCTTTCATAACCCCAATATATGTATACCCCTATATCCCTATAATATAACCACAATCTATAGTAGCTTCCATGTTCTTTTCCCTCCTTTTATAACCCCAATATATGCACTACTGTCTAAACTCCTAGTATCCTCCTATAGTAGTCCCCTATATAACCCCCTTTAAGGAGTTTAGACTACAGCCCCTAAACCCTAAACCCTAAACCCTAAACCCTAACATATGGGGGCCTTCTTCTGTCGGAGTTTCAGGCTCAGCTTGAAGCAGTGGAGCGAGTCGAGTCGACCTCAGGAGCTTTTTCTGCGCTATTGCCCGGTGGCTTTGGAATTTGTTGAGGGGAGGGTGGTGTTTAGGGGTTTAGGGTCTAGGCTTTAGTTTTTAGGGTTTAGGGTTTAGGGGAGGATGGTGTTTAGGGTTTAGGTATTTTGGGGTTTAGGGTTTAGGGTTTATGGTTTTTGGTGGGTCTTTTTGCACAAAGGAACAAGGATTAAGAGGGAGGGAGACGGGTTTTAGGGTTTAGGGTTTTTGGTGGGTCTTTTTGCACAAAGGAACAAGGATTAAGAGGGAGGGAGACGGGTTTAGGGTTTAGGGTGTTTTTGGTGGGTCTTTTTGCACAAAGGAACAAGGGTGAAGAGGGAGCAATTGATTTTAGGGGGTCGAGTGTGCAGGGGGGTAAGGTTATTGGGATGCTGAGTATAGGTTGGGCTAGGCCCGCACCTGCTACTAGTGCTATATTATGATGAATGTATGAGCTAGAGTCTAAACTCCTTAAAGGGGGTGATATAGCGGAGTATATAGGGAAGTGTTATAGGGGTTATTGAGGGGGATACTAGGAGTTTAGATTAGATTATAGCTCTCACGGAGGCCCTGATATAATTCCCATCATCTGTTGTGGTCACTCTTAGTGGGTGGGGGCCCAACCTAAAGTACAGGTTAGGTCATTCCCTGACAAGAACAGATATTTGAAAAGGTAGTAGGGATAATAATGCTCTTAAGCCCTTTACGGACAGTTACTGCCAGGGGTTTAGGGTGTAGGCCTAAACCCTAAACCCTAAACCCTAAACCCTAGTCCAAACTCCTAGAATCCCCCCTTAATCGGCCTTAGAATAGTCCCCCTATGTAAACTTCTACATATGGCCCCCCATTTTAAGAGTTCAGACTATAGCTCATATGTACCATGGTCTAAACTCCTTACAGGGGGTTTTATAAGGGATTATATAGGGGACTATTATAGGGGATATTAAGGGGGATACTAGGACCTAGGAGTTTAGACTATGGCTCATATGGCCGTGAACTCTCAAAAGGAGATTGAGGATGCTGTGTTATGGGTTTAAGGTTTAGGGTTTAGTTAGGGCACTTACTTGGAAGGTCAGGGGGGATTTAGTAAGTAGGTTAGTAAACCTGCTTAAACCACATAATCACCCCAATTGTCCCCATTATTATAGTCCCCCTTGAGTAGATAGAATATGGCTTTGGATATATTTCAATAAGATGCCCATATAACCCATATTCTATATACTTAAGGGGGACTATAATCTAAGCACGATGCCATGTTAGGGTACTTGGGGGGCAGGGGCTTCAGCTTCAGGACTTTAGGGATCTCAGAAAGCCGAGCTGCCAAAGGATATAGGGTTTAGGGTTCAGGGTTCTGGGTTTGGCCCCAAACCCAAACCCAAACCCTACAAGGTGCATCCTTGCCATGAAGCTTCAAGTAAGGGGCCAGTTCCTCTAGAAGTGCCGAGTAAATTAGCTGCTGCAAAAATGTGCCAGGGTTTGCGGGCTCAGGAGTTTAGAGTTTCTTGCGGCTTCCAACAAAATACGCCGCCACTTCTTGGGTGTACCTCCACCAAGGACCTATTACCGGCTTGTGGGTTGTTGGCTTAATCTGCCTGCGATCATGTTTGTTATCCTGTTATCCCCGTACATCCGCTAACACGGTCATAAATAAGCTATACACGTGGAGTGGAAACGGCACGTTTTGCCCTCTGAACCTTCAGCCCAAATCTGGTGTGGAGTTTCTGAGACACTTGAGCACCAAGCCCTGTGTACCGCATAGCTCAAAGCCAGAATCTCCGATGCCGAATTCTCCCGAACAAAGAATTTCCTAGGCTCTGTCCCTGTGCCCAAGTTTGCCCGCCCCAAGACCTCAATCCGGAAACTTGCTCGGCACTACTTCCCTGACAGGCGGTGCTGTTGTCACTTGGGGGGACGACTCCTGTGGCGGCGTCTTGGCCGAATTTCCTGCCCCTAAACAAGGACAGCCCCCATGTGCAAAGTAGTGTATTGTGAGTGTTTTGCATTCCTAGAGGCTAGGAGGGCATCACCAGATTGAAGAGGTGGTTAATGTGTTGAAATTATCCAAGTATGTATTTGTTTCAGGTATTTCTATGTTATTAAAAGACGTAAATAACCTCGCTAAAGAGAATAATTTTTGAGTAAGTGCACGGGCGTGCAGATGGGGTGATCTAGGTCTACTTGTCCTCGGCTAGCTGTCCTGTTTGTGGAGAGCTGTTGCAGAATCGTACTTACCCTGCTCGCACCCACCACCCGAAAGTACCAGGGTTTAGGGTTCAGGGTTAAGGGAAATATAGGACCACAAGGCAATTTGGCTACCCAGAAGCCATCAGTTTCCTGCACGTTCTTCCCGGCCCCTAACCCTGGGCCCCCAAGCGGGATTGAACCCAAGGTCCGCATGCCCCTAGTGTGGGCCCTGCACCACCTTTGTACCTACAGAATACAATATACCTACCCCTACCCAGACCCCCCTAAATATCCAAAACTGGAACCCTCTTATAATCCCCTAGCTTCCCCAATGTTGCAATGGGTTCATATTGGGGCTCCATTTTTTGGATCCTTTAGGGCATCTGCGTATACGTCCTAGAAGCCACCCATAGTCCAAGTGCCCATATTGCAGGGTTCCAACCTCAGACAGAGGGTTGCCTCCCTAAACCCTTTAAACGCTGAAGTGAGCTAGAGTCTCAATTCCTTGAAGGGGGGGTTATATAGGGTTATATATGGATAATTGAAAAGGGAAATTACCATTTAGGGTTTAGGGTTTAGAGTCTCAAGTCCTTAAAGGGGTTTATATAGGGGACTATTGTAGGGGTTTTTGAGGGGGATACTTGGAGTTACCAAGACTATGGCTCAACTGAGGTGACAGCACTGAGGTCCAGGACTGGGCTTGGGTTCCAAGGTTGAAATTCCTAAGCCCTCCCTTACCCGAAGGGTTACGGGACCAGGGCTGAGCCTTTATCCCTCAAACTCTAAACCCTAAATCAGAAACCCTGAAGTATGGTATGAGAGGCAATTATTTTGGGACGATTACTTCTTGGCCATGAACCTCATACTTAGAGTAGGTCAGCATAAGAGATCCCATGTTCGCGTTGGGAGATGGCTTTCCAGATGTAATTGTGCAAAAGATGAGTTTGCTTTTCAGGATACTACCCTAGCTCTAAACTCTAAACCCTAGGGGTGAAGTAGAAACCCTAAGGTAGAATGCCAATCTCCACCAAGCACTGAACCTTCTCAACCCTAAAACCTAACCTATAGACTACCCTAAACCCTAAACCCTAAACCCTAACGCAGCTCTTTCGAAAAGGCGACAAACGCAGCAGTTGAAGGGCGCCTCCTAAAGCCCCCAAAGCTGCAGGCTCTGAGCTTTAAGGCTTAGGGTTTGGGTTTGAGGGTTCAGGATTTATGGTTTATATAACCCCTAGATAACCCCAATATTATGGTAGTTTCCATTTTCTTTTCCATTATCCCTATATAAACCCAATATATACTCTATTCAGGGTTTAGGCTCTGCTGTGACATATCGCTGGAGCAGACATGGCCATGCCACAGAGTCACTTCGAGTCGTTGCGGCGCGCGACATGCTATTCACCCACCCCACGCCGTCCAAGGCCGCCAAACCACCCAAACCTATTCTGATTATAAGACCCTATAAAACCCTTTAAATCCCTACATAACCCTAGTATAACCCCATTAGGGTCCATCTTGGTCAACAACATAAGATTGCTTACCGCCCGCACCTTCCTGTCCGCGACTTTGACCAGCCACATGAGATCGCCCTTAAGCCGACGTGTACCTGTTGGCTTGGGCGCTTGAGGCCCGGCACCTTGGAGGCCTGCTGACTTGGATCCTTCTGTCGGAAGGTCTGTTATATACCGAGTTTCCATTTCATTTTCCATCATATTTTCAATCAACATAACCCCAATATTATCCTTAAATTACTATCCCACCTTAGGCTCTGGAAGGCACTGCTCTTGGGAGGGTTCTGAGAGGCTCCTGGGAGAGCCTCTGGGAGGCCTTGTTACAAACACGAAGCCTGGGTTTCGTGGGGGGTGCGGGAGGCCAAGCGAGCCTTGAGTTTAGGGTTTAGGGTTTGAAGTTTAGGGTTTAAGGCCTGCTATGGAAAATCTCAGCAGTTTGGAGGAGCAGTTGAAGGATGTCCTGACCATCCGCAGTTCTTTGGCTGCTGGTAAATTCAACTAACACATGGGCCGTGACTATTTACCATGATTTTGGCCCTAGATTCCTGGCACCTCTGGTAGTTACAGGGAACCTCAAAAGACCTCAAGATGATATTTGGTTGAAATTGTTTAGGACAACCCTAAACTCTAAACTTTACAGTCCTACTTAAGTAGATAGAATAGGCTTTGGGCCTATTATAACTTGACCCCCATATACCCCATAGTCTATCTACTTAAGGGGGACTATAACCGCAACCTACAGTAAGGGGAGTCATTTTCGGCGACGGGCTCCCCTAAACCCTAAACCCTAAATCCCTAAAACCCTAAACCCTAAATCCCTAAACCCTAAACCCTAATCCTTTATCCCGACTCCAAACCTGAAGGCAAGGCATCCTCGATCCTTGTGATTAGAAGCAAGTCATTTGGAGACAACATGAACAAAGCCGTCAATCCCCTGCCCTAAAAAAGGTTTAGGGTTTAGGATTTAGGGTTTAGGGTTTAGGGTATAGGGTTTAGAGTATAGGATTTACCCGCCCAGCACCCAGCCCCCCTAATAATGACCCTCCCCCTAATGGAACGTTGTATGTGTGGGTGAATCCATAGTCTCGGGGGGCCGGGGGTACTGTATTATTGCTTGGAGGTTCAGGGTAAGAATTGTAATCAAGCAGGTCTGGCATTGACAACACGTTTATAATCACATTAGCGGACTTCAGGGGCTTACAATTGGGCTATATTAGGGTTAATGGGGGGGAGGTGGCTACGCGAACACAGCCCAGGTACTTCCTTTGCTTTCGCCGCACTTCGAAGAGACGGCAAAGTTATCACCTGGGGATGTCACCTGATTCAATGGGTGCAGGGTCTGGCTTAGGTTTCAGGGTTTCGGGCTGGTTTAGGGCATATACGAGGCTTTGGGGTTTTGAGTTTAGGGTTCGAAGTTTTGGGTTCAGGGTTCTGCAGAAGCCTGAATGACTACCAACAGTATTGCCTGGAAACCCTTATAGAGTACGTGCTTCCTCCACTCTTTCCGTTTTCTGGAGAAAAAGGCTTCTACAATCAGTCAGGATGCAGTTGCAGACACAGAGGGGGAGAGAAACAGAGAGAGAGAGAGAGAGTAAGAGTAAGAGTAAGAACCCTAACCCTACACCCTGAACTCCTAAACTGCGTAAACCTCGAAGAGGTGTTGAGGCTTTGGGAAGGATGCCTTTCTTAGGTTCATCCAGGCTTTGAAAAATTAAAGCCGTCACTATCATCCCGTCCCCTGATAATGAACCAAACCTAAATCCTAAACCCCCCAGGAACCATGCTAACTTATTGGTTATTAAGAGGGGATAAGGGATAATGTACTCCCTCATCCCCTACCCACCCCAGTAAGATAATGAATCCCCTGCATCCAGTACGGATACATGATAAGGATTTGTTTCATCAGGGGGTGTTGTGAGGTGATCAGCACTTGCAATCTGGCCATGCTTGTTAGCGTAGCGTGGGTCTGACCCGGATGCCTGGATACTCTCTCTTGCTTTGATTGGGACTCTCTCGCACGGAGGGTGGGCCCTTGGAGACCGGAGGAGATATGTGGGGATTGCAAATTTGAAGGGAAGAGATGGGTGCGGCTTAAGGTTTAAGATTTTGGGCTTAGGGCTGGGGACTGTAAAGAGGTAATGTTTGAGAAGCTTCAAGTGGGATACAGCCATTTTCTAGGAAAGTGGAAGCCCCCAGCAATCCTCACATTCCGGTGTTTCTTGGGGATGTAATACACTATATACCCGTATGTCTGGAAGGCAGAAGATCCAAGGAGAAGCTTAGTAATCCCAACCCCGAACATGGTTTAGGGTTTAGGGTAAACCCTAAACCCTAAACCCAAACACCATAAACCCTGCAATCTTTCAGTGGCGATTGCAACAGAGTCTCTTGCAATTCCCCACATGGCCCAATACCCCTTCATGATGAAACATATCCTAAACCCTATTCCCTAAACCCAGATCCCTGCAGGAATATGCCCTACAGGATTTTGGAATCCCGAGTCTGTTCTAAGATATGTTCCTTAGGAGGACCCCCCCCCCCACCCTTTAATAGTGGTATATTCCATAATAGGAATATAAGAGAACCCTATATCATTTATAATCCTTGTTACTCCTTATAGCCACTATTATTGGGTGGGGGTCCACCTAAACCCTAAACCCGAAACCCTAAACCTTAAACCCACCTAATAGGTTCCTTCGTTAAGAGTTACTGGGCTGGCCTGGTCAGGCCCCTCTGCAGGCGGCGACAGCAGCGCTCTTCTGCAGGAGCTATGGGATGCACTTGAGATGACGGCTGCCCCATTTTGGGTTTAGGGTGTAGGGATTTGGGTTTAGGGTTTAGGGTTTGGGGTGTGGGGATTTGGGTTTAGGGTTTAGGGTTTGGGGCTACAGTCTAAAAACTCCTTTAAGGCGGATTATATAGGGGATTATATAAGAGACTATTATAGGGGTTATTAAGGGGGATACTAGGAGTTTAGACTATGGCTCATTTGGGGGTTCGGGCTTAGGGTTTGGGGTGTAGGGATTTGGTCCATTCAGGGGCAATGGCAAATTAGACGGAAAGTGATACGAAAACTGGGGTTCTGTTGACGTTGAAAGGTTTAGGATTCGGGGTTTATTCTTTGGAAACTATTTTATGCTTGCAGGTTACATGAAGGCCCCTGCAGGATCGCATCCCTCCGGATCCTACAGATAATAGTTTAGGGTTTAGGACTTAGGACTATAGGAGCCATAATCTAAACTCCTTAAAGGATGTTATATAGAGAGTTATATGGGGGAGTACTTTAGGGGCTACTAAGGGGAACACTAGGAGTTTAGACTATAGCTCATAGGGATCCGCGATTCCTTCATTCTCGCCTATGTTGCAGTTGTGATGATATCTTAGCTTTACGGAGGGTCCCATATATGACTTTGATAGGGTGGGCGCAGTACTTGTTCTAGGAGTGCTGGAAACCCCAATCATGGAGTACGGTCACGTCTCTCCGTACGCCCAGATGAGCCATAGTCTAGACTGCTTAAAGGGGGCTATTAAGGGGAGTAGTATGGGGCTTATTTATGGGGATACTTGGAATTTAGACTACAGCTCAGAAAGACAAGTTACATCAACCTAACCTGATCTCAAGCCAACGTCGTGGCTCCAACTGGCGTGTTTTTCAGCCCTGGGGCCTTGTGCTACTTCAGCCAGCTAAATAAGTAACCCTAAACCCTAGAACCCTAAACCCTGCAGCTGAGGAGCTAGAAGATGTGAATAGATACCTTCCTCCCCCGAGCACAAAGAGATGCTCGAAGCGCCGCAAGCGGAGTTGTGAGCGAGAGCCAGTCAAAAGCATGTGCTTGCCATGGTGTAGGGCTCAAGGTTTTCGGGTTAAGGGGTTTAGGGCTTAGGGTTGAGGCCATGCCCCTAACTCTAGTCTCCTTAGGAAGTGTCTTTCGTTCTTGTTAGTATAGTAAACCCTAAGGAAGCATCGGAAATATTAGTACCATTATAAGTCTACGGGGACGACAGCTACAGCTACATGGAATCCAACAAACGCGCTTACATAGACTATGTCCTTTTGATACGGTCTAGATGGTGTTCTGTTTTTGAGGGAATGTGAATTCTACAAGGTTCCTGAAAATAGTTACTAATTTCTGTTACCAACAATCCTAACATTTAGCTGAAATTTTAATTTCTACTGGGGTTCCAAATGCCTTAGAGAATTCACGTGAGGACCCTGCACTGCCCTGGCCTGAGCCGCCACATTTCGTAAGCTTGCAAGAAACATGTCATAGAACATGCAGTTTATTAAGAGTCAACACAGTTTCTCGCAGAATTTACGAGGTCCCAATCGGAGAGGTGACGCAGGATTCTAAAGTGAGGAGGCCATTTGTTTTGTAATGAGCATGTGCGTCAGCAGTAAGAGGTCCCGAATTTGAGATTTTAGGGTCGAGGGTCTGGGTTTTTGGGATGTTACTCAAGTGGTCGTATACTGCAACACCCCCGCCCCCCAAACTTTACCCCAAAGTTATCCAAATCAGGGTCTACACAAACCGCAATCTGATTTGGGGAGGGGTGGCAGGGGGAAGGTTAGGATCCCATGATTAGGGTTAAGGGTATAGAGTTTACGCTAGCGAGGCGTAGGGTTGAAAAAGTTTGGGGTAGCTGAGGTGTGAGTAGTAGATTATGTTTGGAGTCCTTTTGTTCTCCTGCGCTGCGGAAATTCGAAAAGGGATTTTGTTTAGGGCTTAGGTTTAGGTAGACCCCAACATGTAATAGTGGTATACTGGAAGTATCCCTTATCATCCCTTTTATTGGGTGGGAGATCCGCCGAACGTCTACTCTTGGCTTGGGATCATGGATCTTCTTGTCCTCTCCACCTCATCATTGCAGGTATACCTGATCCCAAAACCTACACCTGAAAGGGTTTAGGGTTTAGGGTTTGGTTGGGAGGGCGAATCCAAGGAATTCCAAGACCACGGCCTACAAGACTTACCCCAACTTCCGTGTTGCTCTGTGCTTAGCATGGCCGTAAAGCAGAAGTCTGAAAGACTGCAAAAGAGTTCTCCTCCCTAAAACCTTAAGCCCTCGACCTACCCCAAGCCATATTCTAAGTAGCTAGGCCCCTAATTACTTTTTCACCGGAACGATGATCAACACTTGCAGTGCTACTGCTACCAAACCCTAAACCGTCTTAGGGTTTAGGGTCCTTCAAGGAAATGCTTTAGGTGGACCCCCCACCCAGTAATAGTGACTATAAGGGATAATAGGGATTATATTAAGGTCCTCTTATAGTCTTATTATACCCGCGCTGTTGACATCTTGTGCACTCTTCAAGACCCAGGCTAGCGGACCTTATTCCCAGAGGGTCCATGTACCCAATAATTGGGTCCCTTTAAAGGGAGTATATAGGGATATATAGGGGTATATAGGGTTTAGGGTTTAGGGTCCATGTACCCAGGAATTAGGTACTTGGGATTTGGGTAATAGCAATTATAGTACAGCTTTTGGGGTAAGTATATGATTATTGACAGTACTTGGACCCTTAGGGATTGTTTGATTGGACACTCCTTTTGATGAGTCTTATAGCCGTTATGCCTAAGTCTCAAAATCGCCCAAAGCCTTTTTATGGTACGGTCTTTGGACCCAAAAGCCTGGGAATATGTGTCCTTGCAGACGCAGGGTATTAGCATCATTGGTATTAGCATGTCGGGGGCTCCCCGAAAGGCAAGCCTACTTGCCTGGACCCCCCCCTCATGTGAGCTAGTCTGAACTCCTTAAATGGGGTTCTTTACGGGACTATATAGGGGAGCATGACAGGGGTTATTAGGGGGAGATCCTAGGGCTAGGAGTTTAGACCCTAAACCCTAAACCCTATACTAGCGGCTTTAAGGGGGATACTAAACCCTAAACCCTAAACCCTAAACCGGAGTTTAGACTAAAGCTCATCATGGTCTTCGGAGTCACCCCAGCAAGGTGTCGTCCAACATCTGAAGTTGGGGGCGGATGAGAGCGGGCTACCTGCGCCTCCAATAGCCCAAGATGCCTAGGTCCTACTGAGCGTAGTGTTTATGGATTTAGGGATCTAGGGTTTAGGGGTTTGGAGGTTGCTGAGAACCACGCATGATCTGACCACAAGCATCTCATCCCTTGGTATTTTGGCATTTGAAGCTCAGGAGCAAGGGTACCTGCATCTCCCGCTACCATGAAAGTTGAAGATAGGCATGCTAAGTAAGACAGGGGTGTAGAGCTTGCGACTGAAAACAACGCAGACTCCTGGTCAATGAGCCGTGAGTACTTTACTTAGGTGACGTGGGGTACCGTGCAAAACTCAGATAATTCGGTTAACCTCGTGGATCACACTTGGAGCAGCTCAACGTGAGGCGTTGCCGGGCTCATAGTTCAACTGATTTAGGCCGCAGAACCCCTGAACCCAAAGCCCTAAATCAGACAATAGTTCCTTACAGAGTCTTCGAGCATCACAGAATGAGGCACAGGGGCTGCTGGAGGCCCGTCTTTAGCTATGCCCTTGCCTGATATGAGGTTTTCTTGGGATGGAGGGTCCTTAGGGACTACAGTAGGGAGTCTTAAAGGAGTACTCTGCTCCGTGAAGCATACAGAGATTATCTGGAGAAAATCTCATGAGGTCTCCATGGTTCTCCGGAAGCTCTTGCCTAGACAAGCAATAGAATCCCTTATATAGCTTCCTTTAAGGAGTTCAGACCCTAAACCCTAAACCCTATATCAGTCTCTTTAAGGAGATTAGACTATAGCCCATATACGATTGTTTGCAACGGGTAGTAGTCTAGGCCATGGCCCTTACACATTAAGTATACTTAAGCAGGACACGTGAACTTTACAGCGCAGTGCCCCAAGCCTCAAGCTACCCGAAATGGGTTTCGGCTAAAGGCAGGGTTTAGGGTTTTAGGGTTTTGGGGCTAGGGTTCAGGAGCATCTCCACCCCAAAGCCTAAATACTTTATCCTGACTGGGTCCCCCTACACCACCTAAAGCTCCCAAAGGGTACACCTACTTGAGAAAAACCCAACATCCCCATGGCCTGTCTTTACAGGAAGCTACGGTGCACCCTAAACCCTAAACCCTAAACCCTAGCCCCAGAAACTCAAGGCCCTCCAAACTCGGAAGCCTAAACCCTAAACCCTTTAGGGTAGGGTTTAGGGAGGGTTTTTGGTTTAGGGCTTAGGGTAGGATTTAGGGTTTAGGGTTTAGGTTGGGTACTGCCCCCACCCAGTAACAGTCTATACTAGGGGTCCTATTAAGGGCTATATATACCCATATTATAAGTATTATCCAAGTGTTACTGAGGGGGGGCAGTACCCAAGCTATAGCCTAAGCCCCATCATGCCTTCTAGACCTTGAAGCCTACACCCTGCCCCCCAAACCCTACAGCACCCTTCGGAAAAATCAGAAAAAAACTTAACTCCGAGAACCCGGGAGTAGATTCATGGCGCAGAGCTCGAAGATCGAGCTCGGCTGTGGCGATTGGTGCCTACAGCCACCTGAGACCCCCAAAGTAGGTACAACAGCGTGGTTGTTGGCTCTTGTGACCTCAACCCTGAACCCTGATGCGTATTGATCATTGTTGCGCACGGTTGAGGTCGAAATTGTGGTGTAGGGTTTAGAGGAATTTTTGGACTCTGGAGTTCAAGGGTTCTGGGGTGTAGGTGCGGGATTTAGGGTGTGCGGCTTTAGGGTTTGATACTGCAGGGTGTTGAGTTACACGTTTACGGCTTGAGTTTCTGGTTTTTGGGGTGTAGGTTTCAGATTTTGGTGAGCTTTAGAGATTTGCTGTTGAAGATGAAGGGCTTTGAGGGTTTGAGGTTATATAAGCTTTGGGGCTAAGGGCTTTAGACTGGAGAATGTAACGGTTCCACTCCGGGCGGAGTATTTACCGTGCCGTTTAGCTTGGCGTTAGGGTTTAGGGTTTAGGGACCAGATTTTTTCGGAAGCCTTGGTGAGCTTTGCTACTCATCCTATCAATTTGTTGTTGAATAACATGTTACCGCCTTGCATCTGTTTAAGCCTATGATACAACAAAAGATGTTCGTTCGTACATAAACCTCAGCAGTATCCCAGCCTAGAGCAAAGCAACAAGTGCAGAGCAACAAAGCTGGTTTGGACCCTGCCCCTCTCAGTATATAAGAACTAGGTAATCAATATGCAAAGCACTCAACATTACCCACATGCAAGACTGTTGCTTGTAAGTCCCTGGTAATAATAGCGAGATATACGTATAACTGTACTCGTGACCCAAGTATAGTCACCAGAAGTCGGCTGACGCGGTTGTAACTAGGCTCTACACACGGGTATACGTAGGTAATGTTTACCCATGGACCTCCAAATACCGTGTGGGGACAGTACACAAGTTTTTGATGCTGTGTAGCGCAAGCTTCTTACAGCAGTAAGGTCCCTAACATGATTCCTTATCGGAATAGTCCATGGCAACCGCGGTCACTTGGGGTGAACGTTTTTTTTTTGGACGGGCATACCTGTAAGGGTCAGGGGTTGAAGTATTTGGTTCAAGCTAAGAACTGCTCTTTGATTTCTGCAGCAGGATAGACAGCAGGAATTACGGTACGCGGCTTGATGAGAGTTTAGGGTTGTGTGGGTTTCGTGCTCAGGGCGTAAGGTTTTTTGCCGGTTTGCCCGCGAGTGATTTGATTGTTGGCTAGGATATGACTAATGAGCACGTGTGGAAAATTCAGCCTTGGTGGCTCCCCATGCACACACAGTTTCTCAGCATGTCGAAGCGTAGCTGCCAAGACTCGCAGGCCATCAGGCGTATCGCGACCCCTACCAAAATCTAAACACGAACCTATACC